ATAGGAACTGGAGTTAAGGCAAGGGTTGTCAACATTGCATACAAGCGATTGCCAAAAATTGACGGATCCGGCGCTGGGAAGTGCTTTGGAGTTGTAATAACCTATTCGTACGGAAATGTTAAGTAATCATAAAAATCCGCATAATTTTGCATATATTTTGGTGCATAAGATATAGTGACCAAAACAGTTGGTATTAAAAGCAATTTTTTCGCAGTTAAAACAAATGAGAAACAATTAGGAGGAACACATCGAAAGCACGTACAGGTCTGTCGATTAACTGCTGGGAACTGTAGCCTAACGATGAGAACGGCTAGAAATACAATCGCCGGCCAAAAGAGCTCCAAAAACAATGTTGTCTATCGGTAGACAAAAAAAACAAATTTTGTGATTAAAAAACTTTTTAGTGATACAAACATATTAAAGGGACAAATAAAGTAAAAGAAAAAATCAAATAAAAACTCAATAATTCATTACTGGCTGTCGTTTTCTTAACAATATTTTTTGTCGCAATAAAAGTCTGAGTTGTTTGAAGAAACTCATCGCTGGTTACCATTTGAGGCACTATTTGTAAAAAATCAAATAAAAACTCAATAATTCATTACTGGCTGTCGTTTTCTTAACAATATTTTTTGTCGCAATAAAAGTCTGAGTTGTTTGAAGAAACTCATCGCTGGTTACCATTTGAGGCACTATTTGGGCGAAAAAAAATGAGCTGCAGTTGTGTGCGAGGAATGGTCTAAACATAACCTAATTATCGCTCACAACAACACAAACACTGCGATACGAATCCCAACATAACGGCGCTCTCATCACCAAAAAACTGAAAACTCAATACAACTTTTGGAAAACTTCTGTTCAGTTCAAGTTCAGGAAGTTATTCAAGTTCGCCACTCAGGTATGCCTTCAGCACTGGCAGCCGCACTGGCAGGTAAGGCATATGCACCACACATACAGGAATACGGGGCTAGTATACTATTTATATATACCATCTATACATACGTTTGCCATTCGCTGGCAAACTTTCATTCATTAATAACAAGTCATACCATTCGGCACTAGTAGTCGATAGTCGAAGAGCTAACTGAGGGTTCAGACAGTTTGGAGGACCGGTTCCCTGACAACCAACAACTGGAACCTATGCTGCAATCACAGCACCGACAGCTTATGATTATGATTATGAAAGTCACTTCTCTCTGAGCTTTTCTATGTAAACAAACGCCGAGAAAACATGTTCTCCAAGAGATATCCCATTCCTAACCCCCAATCGCATCCCATCCCCCAACCAATCAATTGAATACATTTCACGGTTTGGATGCAATTTTTAATCTCAATTTATTTACCCTTTAGGTTCGCCATTGACTTCTTAGAGTGCATTCAATGCATTGCATAATATATGGAAATTTCAAGTCATTAAAACGAGTCACAAGTTTTTGGTTACTTTTTAATCGGCAAAATTTATGGCCAAAAATAGCGAGAAATAAGTTTCAATTTTTAGTGGATAGCGTTCAACGAGAACTTGTTTTGAGAAATTTCTTTTAATAAGAGGTTTGTCTGAAAAAGCTTATCATTTCTGGTGATAAGTACAGACTTGTAGAACACTTTAGACTCATTTTACTAATAGTTTGTTTGTTTGCCATCAGTTATGCAATGCTTAGCTTATATTCTGTGTATTATAAATATGCATTACATGCGAGTACTCAATGCAAACTCAAAAACAATTGCTTTTTTAGAGCACTTGTTGTTCACTAGTTATGGACAAAAATGATAACCAAATATACAGTTGACTACAGTTTGTCACTCATATCTATTAGGAATCTATTGTATAGACGAGATATTGTCAACTCAATTGAGGAACTATTGAGGGGAACAGTAGTTCACATGATAAGCCCTGTCTGTTCAGTACTGTGTGTTTAGATGAGACGTTTTGCGTAAATAATAAGAAAATGAAAATAAATGAATAATTATATTAACATAAATGAGAACATTTCGTTAAATTCAGTAATTGTTTGCCAATTAGTAATATCTCTGTCCTATAAACACAAATCGTAACTATGCTTACAGTGAGTGCTTATGGCTCTCTCTCTCTCTCTCTCTCTCTCTCTCTCTCTCTCTCTGCAAATAAGTCTCTTTTTCTTTTGGATTTAATTTATTCTTTTCACTCGTTTTTTAAAATAGTTTTTATATTCATTAATAGAATTTATTTCCCAAATTCACGATTAGTTTACAATATACTCCTTTTGAAACAATAAATTCGTGTAAAAATAGAAATTAAAATTAATGTTTTCTAAATATTTGCTTTTTGCAGCTAAACTACAAAAGTATAATTCAAAAATAAAAGTTATTATTAATTATTTTGTTAAGTTAGCATTAAGTTAGCGTTAAATAATGGAATTAATTAAATGTTTTTTCCGAACTATTTTCCTATATCCTAAGCACACATTTGAATAGAAAAGAGTTATCATGTAATGAATATAACCTGAAATAACCCATTCATAAGTGTATTTGAATTCTGTGTTTGTTATACATTGAATAAATACGATATTTATTAATATATTTTTATTTTGAACGTTAAACAAAAGAAATATAATAATAATTAATTGCGAAGATGTGTGTGTGTGTGTGTGTGTGAGAGAGAGAGAGAGAGAGAGAGAGAGAATTGTGTTAACGAGTGTACGAATAATTGATTGACTGATAGATAGCTAAATAAACTTATAAATAGAAAAAACTTTTGGATTTCAAGTTCAGAACAGATTTTTTCTTAAATTCAGAGGTCATTGAACTGAAAACAATGTTTAAAACCGAAAAACTTGTTGTATAGTCAATGAAAAGTGAACGACAAGTTTATATAACAGTTATAAACAGTTAACATGTATGTGATCTCAAACTTCACGTATAATAATTGACGTCAAAAACAAGTATTTCTAACGGTTCTGACTAACGGTGCTCTTTCTTAAGGGAGAGGGAGGGAGGGGAGAGAGAGGGCTGTCGAGGAGGCTTAGGCTCCGGGCGTTTAAATATATGAAATTAACATTTGTTCTCTGGCTATGTATTGGTACGACTGTATACCTGGGAGAGAGACTGGACTTACCCCTCACCTTATATTTCCCATTTCAATATTAAACGTTAGGAAAAGGTTTTAATCGAAATTTTATTAAAATATTTAAAATACATATTTGAGTCGACTATGAAATGAATGAAAAAATGAATTTAGAAATGAAATCCAGAAAATTGATGCCAAAATTGCAGAGTAGAGAGAATGCAATGGAAAACATTGACTTTCATTAAAGAAATTACGAAAACGGATATAAAATGCTAGTGAATAAGAAAAATAGTATTTTTCTCGCTTTCGGGCACAACTCGAAAGACATTTCTTACAGCATATGATGCGATAGTTTTCGTTGCAATTAATTCTCAATTTCACAAAATCGAGGACTAATTCTCACCGCTATTAATGGGATGGCAGTCAAGAAACGCATTGCAAAAGCATTATATAACTGTAAATTCAGTTTCAACTCATATATACTGTATAAACACCTGAAGTGTATAATCCGGTTCAGTCGCACTGTAAGCCAGTGCTACTTATATAACATATAGTATAGTGGAGTGTATTTTTGGATCTGGTTTTACTCGATCTCATTCTCTCTCTCTCTCTCTCTCTCTCTCTCAGCACTTTATTCGCGAACCTTTTAATAGAAATTATTGTCGCAAAATAAAATCAATTTTTGAAAATGAAAATTATGTTCAAACTCAATGAATACATATTTTGTAGTTTTATTTTTCTTAAACTCGTCATTCTGAATAATTATTTTATTTAAACCAAACGATGGTTTTATTATTAAAATTCATAAATGCATGTCAATATTCATAAATCATTTTCTCATTTAAATATATATTAAATTCGCAAACAATTAGATTCATATCAAAATAAACAATTTTATTTTCTACAGTATTTTAATTAACAATTCATTAATAGTCGAAGTAATCCATTAAGTATTAGAGAGCAGTCAGAAAAACATCAATTTTTGGTGATAATCATTATAAATAACTTTAATTTAGACTCAATGTTAACATCAAATATAAATAACTTTAGAAATTAAATATTTTTAATTAAAAAAGATATCAAAAAATCGATACAAAGATATTGCAAAATATGAGCAGATATTGCAAACACTTAAATAAAAACATTTTAATTATAACTCTTCGTGATTGGGAGTTTAGAAATTAAATATTTTTAATTAAAAAAGATATCAAAAAATTGATACAAAGATATTACAGATATGAGCAGATATTGCAAACACTTAAATAATAACATTTTAATTATAACTCTTCGTGATTGGGAGTGGAAGGGGTGGTCGTGTGGTCGGCATTGAATTGATGCCAGAATTCGGGTGGAATGAGACTCAAGTACTGATCCGTATGCTCGAGGATCTCCTCTTTGGACAGCTTCTCATCCTGGTTCTGGTCGCCCGATTGGATTAGTCTCCACGATTCGGCTTCGTGTCGGTCGTACGTGGGAACCAACCACTCCTTCAACTCGTCTTTGCTTAAGACACTATCTTTGTTCTTATCTAAGTATGACGTGAAGTGGTTTTGTTGCACCTAATCGTCCGGTCCATGCAAACCAATGCAACAATCGTTAGTATAATATCACAAATAGACAAATATATACATTAACATAGAATATGACTTATAAAAGTAATTTTCATAAACCGGCCCTTTATCTAATTGCTAATAAGCCGTTACTGTTTATTTAGTTTTTTTCATTAACATACCTTGATACACCTTGATTAACATATCTTGAACACATACCTAACAACTAATATCTAAACATTTCACGAATGAATACCTGAGCAAAGTTAGGATCACTCTTCTCCTCTTCGGACGACATCTCATTGATGTGATTCATGTACTCCTCGAGGGATATCTCTCCATTAGTATCACTATCCATGTCCTCCATAGCCTCGTCCACCAAAATCTCTTTAGTCCGATCGGACTCTTCCGGATGAACGAAGTCTTTGTATTCATCCTTCACGAGAACTGAGTCGCCATTCCTATCGGCGTATTTCCAGCGCCTTTCCGCCCGTTTATACATATTCTTCAAGTTTTTAAAGTTGGGATCAGACGAGTGGACACTCTCATCATCGCCGATGTCGTCCGGATAAGTCATATTCACGTATTGGTCCCAATGGAGGACCTCCTTCTGCTCGGGTGTATATCCCTCCCAACTGTGCACCTCTTGTATCTCCGGCTGATAGTAACTCCATTGCTGTTCAATATTATCG